ATGAAATCTATCTCGAAATGATATTTTTATGATTTCCAATTAATATACGTACTTGAAACACTATTTCATTACTGTTTAAATGTTACTTCATATAAAAGTTTATTTGCAAAATAATCCTTTATCGATCGAAGAATGGAAATAAATTTTCCATTTATTTCAAATTTTTTTTTTTTCACCAATTTCGTTGAAAAAAAAAAAAGAAATGGACGAGTCGATTCCTCATCAAAGTCTCCGAACACGATATTTACGTTATGATTATGACTCTCTAATGGCGTGAATCCAGGTGCAATTAGCGTGATTACAGTTTAATCGGAGCCATTATGAGATTTGATGACACTTTGACGAGAAACTAAATGTACATTCGCGGAAAATAGATTGGAAAATAATTTCTTATCAAATTAGATGTTTTTACATTTTTCTGAATCATTGTTTGTTGCTTATCTCGAGTAATTATTATATCTGTTCTTGTTTACAGATAAGTATGACACGCGTTTTCTAATAAGATTGGAAAATTGGTTTCTGTCATATTACACAAGGATAAACTGTAATACATTTATTTCATTTCGATTAAACTGTTTTGAAAATTTTTATCAACTATTTTCTTTTCTTCTTCGTAAGAAAAATTCTTTTCACGTGGAATAATAAATAAATAAATAATTAAAATAAAACTAAATGTAAATTTTATATATAATTTTTCTAAAAAGAGAAAACAAAAATGAAAATCGAGGATATGAAATGATATAAAGAAGAAACAATGAAAGAAAAGATATTTTGAAAACTGTAATACCTTCTTCATATTTCAGAAAGACATTTCCTACGTCTTAAACAAGGCAGTTTAATTTCTTAAACATTATGATATTTAATGAAATGATATCCTCGTATAATATGCAAGGACGTCAAACTTTAAATATTTGCGATAAATCGCTATCTTATGATCACCGATAAAACTCGTAACCTGTATTTTTTAACCTGTGTTTTAGAAAAATTTTAATAGGGTTTCTCAATATTCGAATATTATTTCGTTAAATTCATAATTTAATAAACAATACCTTTACGTGCACCTGTACTCCATTGAGTCACGATCTCCCACTAGCAAACTTATCCACTTGTTTTCTCAAATTACGCCACCAATCTTCTTCAAACTTTCACGTCGATTACTTAGCCTTGAAAAATTCTTACGTTATTTCCTTACACAAAATTGGATATTCCAAGCGAAGGACGTATCATGAATCGATCACTATTCTTTACATTGTTCTTGATCGATGGCACACTCGAATGTAATTTCTTTTCGCGCGTTTGAAGAGTTCATGAAGAAATACAATCCTCGTCAATTTTTAAGCATTCTTTAATTTTAACTTGTCGATATTTTTAATCCTTAAATTCTATTGATACTTTTTTAAATTTTTATTATCAGACTGTCATACATTGAAGTATATCTGTAATCGAATCATGAAGTCGTAAATCTCACGATTCAAATGTAACAAGGATCGTTTTAGTCATAAATCCTTGATTAAAATACGGTTTGAAACAATCGAAAATAATTCTTTAAATTACATTTTTTTCACCAATTTCAACACCAAGTTACTTGCATCATCTCTTTTCTTGGTTAAACAAACGTTATTCAATATCAAAACACACGGATCCATATTTATAAAACGAATTCTTTGCGAAACTGTATTTTAATTTCTCATCAAAAAAAAAAAACTTTTTAATTCTTCAACTTGGTCTTAATTCTTAATTAATACTTTTTAAACTTTAATTCTTAATTAAATTTCTTTTTTTTCTTAATTTTTCATTCACTGGACATTCACGAACAACCCGACTTTTGTCTCGTGAAACAAAGACTTTAAAAAACGACCGTTTCCAATGATGCGACACTGTCATACAGACCGAGTAGAGAACACCGACTGAGACAGTAGCAACGTTTGTTCGCATAAGTATACAATCGCGAATGACTTTCGAGGTAGTTTCTCCCACTCATCGACACGTTTCCATATATTTGGTATTTCTCGATGAATATACAATCCTTGTTTGAAGATTATGAGATTTATCACGAATTTTTCAAACGATTTTTCATATTTATTTACATTTATTTATGTTTTTATTCAAAATAATATTAGTTCGTTTATTGTTCAATGTATTTAATTAATTCTATATCATGTTGAGACAATTAAGAAAACGATTGTTGTAATAATATATTCATATGTTGATTTATTTATAATTTTTTATTTTATTATTTTCTAAATCTTGACAATAATATTACAATTTTATACAATTTCTCTCCATTCTTTCTGCATTCTATTGTTTCCTTCTCGTTTCCTTTCATCCACCACTCGTTCCAATTTGATACAATCCTTTTTTGTGTTCTTCCATACAATCTTTTGTGTATCATTTTTAAAACGTGCACGATATTTAAAAATTTTTAAAAAGTTAAAAACTTTTAAAAAGTTTTTTCACAAATACATTCGAAATCAATAAATAACAGGGATCAATATAATATTTATTTCGTCAATTTACTTTTTAGAAATTATGCGCATATACACTTTTATCTTCGACATCCACGTAACGTAAATATTTCGCAAATTTCCCTCAATCAATATATATTTGAATTTATTACACATCTCATACCGATATTAAACGATAATAAGCTTTAATAAATTCCTATTAATAACGACAATACACACATTCATTTTGAATATAAATTAAATCAAATATAAATCACAATTCATACGTATTAATTTCACGTAGGAAATTTAAATTAAATCTTTATTTTGCAATTATTAACATATCTTTTTCATCTCGTGTCGCAATTAAATCAAATTAATCGAAAATTAATTTTTAATATCATTTCAGAAACATCCTAATCTTTTTCGTACAATAATTTGTTATTTCACGATATAAATTATTCATTAATTCGACTTCGATGAAAACACATTCATTCTTCATTCTAAATATTATTTCGAAATGTCGTTTTCTTAAACAATTCCAATTATCCGTTTTGCCTCAAATTTTTTGAACAAGGAGCATCATCGTTATTTAATCGAATAACGATTAACATTAATTAATATCATTATCTGCAAATTATTATTTGATATAAATTTCATCCAGATCTGAATCCAATTATGAATAATTCTTGCTTCGCATACAAATTAAATGATAAATTATTTTAGAAACAACACGTGTGTTCAATACAGCGAAATCGAATTCCAAATTTTAAAAATTGGAGTTGCCACTCTTGTCACTGTCTCAAAACACAGAATCTCGTTTCTCAAAATTTAAATCGAATTCATTTTTCCAATCATCTTTTTTCCCTTGTTCATTACAAATAAAAAAAAATTACGAATATCAAAATTAACATTCATTCCTGTAATTTCCTTTAACGATGTGATCCTCTTCACAAACTTTCTATCGAAGATTGAAACTCAACTCTATGAATTATTAATGAAATCGATTATAATTATATCCAAATTCGATAACTGTACAATTATTTAAATAATCTTTTTATTTATCCATTAATCTATAATAATTCAAAATTTTTGGAAACTCAATCAGCTTCTTCTCTGCAAAAAATTGAATTAAAATTATCGCAACCAGGAAGAAATAGCCAGTCGTTCCATATATATATATAGAAGAAATAACATTCGTGAAACGAGGATCACGAGTGTTCATTTTAAAATTATTATAATCGTCTCCTTAACCGCCACTTAATCGCTCTTGATAATGCTGACTGTGGAGAGTTACGCAATTTTTAGAACGCGATATTGTTTTAATTGCCGTGCAATGCAACGTAGGTGTAATACCACTCTTTAAAGGGGGCGACTTTTAATTAAACGTCCCGCCACAAGTATTCGTTGCGAGTTTCGTTATAAAACGACGCGGTGGTTTTTCCGTTTTGATGGAAACCGTTGCTAACAAATACCATCTTGTTACGCCATAACGGGTTTAATTTAATATATTTAGAAATTGTGTGAATAATTGCGCTTTGCAAACAATTCACTTGCGGAGATATTGCATTCCATACAATTAAGCTCTTTTTGTTATTTACAATTGGATTGCGTGTTGTGATACATGCGGGTATTAGGATATTACACGTAAAATATACATTGTATATACAGTGTTTCTCAACTTCCTTCTTGGCTGCAATTCTCTTTTTGCAATATGCAAAAAAATTATTCTCTGAAAGATTTTATCTTTTGTATTGTATTCCTCGAATGAATAAACAAATAAATGGACTTATGAAAATGAATTTTTCTGACATCTTTTTAAAATATGTCGATGTAATTATTTTGGAATAAATGGATTTTTAAAATCGATATAAGATAATAAGATGGCGATCTTTGAGAAACACACTGGAATAATACCTGGAATAGTACAATTTGTAACGTTGTTGAGTTTCGAGAATTATATTTATTTTATGCTGAGAATATTATATTAGATAATACACAAAATATTTCAAATAGATATTAATTTGTAATTTGTATAAACTGTTTATTTAAATATTTAAAATTTAGATTTGAATAGAATTTAATTATAAATTACAAAAAATTTTATTTCAAGCAATGGTGTTTATCTACTGTAATTTATAATTAATTTATGTGATTGAATGTCTTAAATATTGAATGTTTTGTGTAGATATCTGTGTTTATAATATTTTACAATAATTTTTATTCTTTCTTTAGATCCGCATTACTTATTTCTATCTAAATCTCAAATTATTTAAAAATCACTTACAAAAATGTTAGGATTCCTCTTGTACAATTTAATTTTTTTAAACACTTTCATTATAAATTTCTAGAAAACTTGAATACCAATTATAATTTGATAAATTTAAATTATATTAAATTATATTAAAAAAAATACTTTTATTTCAATTGAAAAAACATTTAAGAAAATATTCAACCTTAATCTACAAAAGAATGAATAATATTTTAAAGTGCATAAAAATATACGACATAAACAATGAACAAAATTACAAGTAAGAGCTAAGGGCACACCTGAAACCAATCGAGTCATCTCCAAATCATGCAAGTATTATCTTTACTCGCTGTGATAATAGTATCGCCATTATAAGAAAATGCACAACTGAACACGTCGTCTGTATGACCATCTAATGTCTGTATGCAGCATCCATTTTCCAAAGACCACAATTTCGACGTTCTATCCAAGGATGATGTCAGTAAATGTTGACTATTTGGGCTGAAACACACTGTATCAATTTCCTCCATTATTTTCTATTAAATATTTCCTCTCTCTTAAATTATATCCTTTATCTTTATTAATAATCTTTCTAAATTATTTTATATGTATTTCTAAATTATATATATATATAATATTATTCAACATCAACTTATATCCTTGTCTGCATTATTCTATTTACTTTTTCCTATCAATAAAAACTAATTAAGATATTCATAAGGTGATCAAGTTTTTCTAATAAATTTGCATTATATGTAACAGGATGATTGAATCACCTTTTGAAACCTCTTCTCGATGACCTTTCATCAAGGCCAGCTGCTTGAAATTGGTGCTCACATCCCAAACTCTGGCTGTGGTGTCGCTGCTCGCAGTGGCCAACTTTTTCCCATTGTTGTCGAAGGTCAGGTCCAGGACCTCGTCGTCGTGTCCTCGAAATGTGGCCAGACACGAGTTCATTTTCGTGTCCCACACTTTGGCCGTTTTATCCATCGACGATGAGGCGATCAACGAGCAATCGAAATTGTAAATGCAGTTCGATAATTCGGATCGATGACCGATTAACACGCATATGCGGCTGGAAGAAAAGTAAGTAGAGAGTAAGTAACAAGGAAATAAAGAATATATGAAGTATATTAAAAACTTTCTTTACTCTTCTCTTTGGGATTTACTGTTTTTTAATTATTATTTTTAATTTTCAAGATTTCGATTGAAAAAATAATATTTGAAAAAAAAAGGTATGTATATTTGTAAATGGAATAAAAGTTAATTTGAGATGATTGGAAATAACCGTGTTAAATTTTCTTTCTCTTTTTTTTAAAATAAACTCACGTGAGAATCCTCGCATCCCAAATACTGACAGTGCCGTCAAAAGAACCCGTTATTATTTGATTTCCATCGTTGTTGAAGTGTAAAGCGATTATTTCTGCAGTGTGACCTCTCAATATCCCTAATTCCTCACCTGTTAAACGAATTTTTATTTTACTTTAAAAAATCCATATCCTCGAATCTCATTGCTCATTTTACATTCCTTTAAAGATTAATCGTTCGAATTTAACTTGAGTATTATAAAATTGAGAGTGAATGAATGTATGTGAATGAAATGAGTGAAGTTATGCTATATTTCCACAATTTTAGAGAAAAATGTACTAAAGATGCAACATGGAATTAGATAACAAATGGATAATTTTATTAAATTTTATTTGCAAAATTTATATTATTAAATAATGATGTTAAGTAATAATTTTCACTTTTAATATAGATACCTGTTGTTATGTCAAATATTCTTGACGTCATATCTAAAGATCCAGTTGCAATTTTTGTATAAATTGGCGAGAATTTGGCAACAACTACTTCAGCATTGTGACCCCTCATAGTTGCCGTGCAGTGACCCGTCCGAGAACACCAAATTTTTGCAGTTTTGTCGAAGGAACCCGTTACGATTTTGTCTCTAAAAATCGAAATCATATAAAAAAATTATTAATATCAACAATTAAATACTTTAAAATCGAGAATATGCTTTAAATTAAATTAAAATCCTTCTTCATTACGATTTATTATTTTTCAAATACGTAAAAGAATTTAAACAAAAAATATTTCATCTCGATTTTTTTGTTATAAAATAAAATATGAAGTATTTCAAGACGTTGTGTACAAAGGGACTCTAGATAGAGATTTCGTCGGCAAAGAGTGCATGAGAAAGACTGTATCCTCGTTTCCGGTCGACGACAGTACAAATGAATTGTAAGAGCAATGGTTAAACGAGACGTACGAAATTGGGTTGTTGAAGGACACGGTGTAGACCACATTCTTATGGCCTTCGAGAGTAAGAAGCTCCGTTCCACTGTCAATGTCCCAAACTTTACACGTTCTGTCATAGCTGCCTGTCAAGCATCTATTAACAAATTTTAATACAAATTGTGAGAATATAATTTTATTAGATTATGTATTGAATCAGATTATTAGTTTTTAAATAATTTTTCTATAAATTTCAAATACTTGTTGTTACTTAAAAATTTGAATAAAGATATAATGTTGTAAATTATATCTTTAAGCAATAATTCTTTTATCATCTGAAATCGAATTGTAAATAATTTTTCTCTAAGTTATGAACTGAATAATGAAGTAAAATTGAAGGAATAAAAAGAGGTATTGAATTTAATGACTTCTGCATTTCTGTTTTCATCAAATTAAGGATGAAAACAGTTTTAGATACTAATTTGCAAGAAACTTTGTTAAAGATACATTTCCACAATCCCAGATGATAAAGGAGTTATTATTCTCTTTGTAAAAACTTTTCAGAGGAATGTAGACGGTAATTCTGAAATAGATGGTCAAACTTTAGAAGCTTATCCCGCTCATTTTAAGAATGAAATAGGTAATATGAACATAGCACCACGAATGTTCACGAGTTACTTTTGCAATAAACTTTTACCGTTACCAGTCTCTTGGATCTTCTTTAAGTCGGTTACCTAAGACATTGTAAGATTAGATAATTTTATAAGAATATAAATATTTCTTGAAATATTTTTATAATGCAACTTTTTAAAATGCTATTACTTTTATCTATCCAATTTTCAAACAATTTTCAAATATTAAAATAATTGAACATCTACACTACTACTACTAAAATAAATAATTTTGAATATATCAATAGTTGTAATATGTACAACAATTAAATATTGACATTTCAGATTTTGAACCTAAAATAATTTATATTTTAAAAATATAGCTTTGTCCATCCATTTCTGATTTACCCTTACATTACTTTTAATGATAAATAAATTTAGAATTGTGGTGGGGCAATCTTAATCGGGAGTACCTTTTACCTAGTTTATCGAACGCAATATTCGTGAGGGGCAGAAGATGGGTCTGCAAGGTCTTGTATTTGTAGTAACGCTTCGGGTTTGTATCGCAAACTTTGGCTTGCAGCTTCTGCAGGGTCTCCACTAACTGCTCCATTACACTTTCGGTTATTACAGGCTCGGCCGCTTTTATGCTCTCCGCTAATGCTCTTATGTCCGTTCTGCAAAACGACACGTACACTCCACTAGTCTACTTGCCGCCAAGTAATTATACACCTACGTGCGCTCTCTCTTTTTTTTTTTTTTTTTTAAATAATTCAACGAGCTTAATTGTGACGTGCGACTCTAACGTTTCCTCTTCTTTTCTTTCTGTTTTGATTTTTTTTTCCCCTTTTTACGACTGTAATCGCGTTTCGAGTCGTTATCGCAAGATTTTGTTTTTATATTTTAACTTTATGAAAGTAATTATATATTTAATAAAGGAAAACAAGTTTACAGGGAGATTAAGAGAAAATTTTTGGTTACATTAGATAAGATAAAGGATTGTTTATCATTTAATGATAATTCTTTCGATATTTTATTTTATTCAATACCATACTAATTATAGAAACATTCGCGGAGAAAATTTTATGAGATAAATATGACAATAGCATTATATATTCTTAACGAAAGAATGAAAGTATCAAATTCAAGTTCTATAAAAAACAAACAAGCTTGATATTAAAAAAATTAGTTACTCGGCAGATAAATCCAGAAGATCGATCATTTTCGTCTTGATATCTCCACCTTGAGTATACTCCAAGGCGAGGCCTATAAAACGAAGAAAGATACAGAGAGATACATCATTTTTAAGATGTTGGCGACACGCGTTAATTTCCGCAAAAATTCATGCCGCTCGGTTGGCATACCTGGTGGAAAGTAACGAAGCAAAAACTTCATCAGCTTCATGTGGACATTCCAATTACAGCCACGTCCAGTGTTTTAGACAGCAACCAAATTGCCACGGGCCCCTCTCGAAAACGAGAGGAACCTGGATTTAATTATAAAACGTAATCGGCGTGCACGCGCGCGAATTAAACGCGAATCGTAGAGGTTAGTTTTTTTTACCCACGGCTGTCAATGCAGTGACCCGCACTTATTCGTCGTGCGTGTCCAACTGCCTGATACGGTTGCAGAAATAGACGAATCGCGATATTGTGCGTTACCAAGGCACGTTTTGTCGATTCCATCCCGGTCTTGCGTAGAAATTTCGTGATCAATTATTGTAAATCTTGCAGCAGAGATGCCTAAACGAGACTTTGAAATTGTGAAAGACGAAGTTTTAATTTATTATTTAATTTATTTAATTTATTTAATTTATTATTTAAACGAATAAAAATTAATAAATGGAATTAATACTCAATAGTTATTACTAATATTCTTAAAATAGATAAAAACGATAAAAATTGAAAAAAAAATAGAAATTTCTCTATATATAGTAATTATAATTAGTAATTAAAAAACATAATTAATAATTAAAAAACATTAATTAAATATTAAAAATTATAATATTTTAGCATTTTTTAACTTACAATTCCTCTAGATTTACAGAGAATAACTTATACTGTTAACGATATATCTCCAACATCTAAACATTATCTATGCAATAGAGTATATTAAGATTTCTAATTTTTAAATAAAGTAAAAAAAAGAAAAAAAATGAATAGGTTAATCATATAAAAATACAATCTCTTGAGAATGTATAAAATATACATTCTGTATATTTTATAAAGCAAATATACTTCAGAAAAAATAGACGAAGAATAAGAATAGGTCAGACATACAGATAATACTTATAACTATCTCTTAAGTACCAAAAACATCTCTCTCAAAATAAAATAGATTAAAAATTGATCCATGACACTAGAATTTTCTTAAAAAGAAATATTCTAAACATTATACAAAATAACTCAAGAGACGGCGCTGATATTCAATTCTTACTCTTCAGAACTCCTTTAGAACTCATATTCAGTCCTATCTCTTAAATATCAAAGATATATCTTCAAATTTAAAAAAAAAAGTAAAACAAGAATTAATCCATGGCACCCTCTCCTAAATTTTTTGAAAAAAAAAAAAAAAAAAAAACATTTTAATCATATAAAACAATTTAAAGGATACCAAATAAACAATATTGTACTTTTAAAATATTAATAACTCGAGAGACCTCCTACTACATCATGTTCTCCTGATACAAACTCGAGTTTCTGGACAGTTATTCCTTCCGTTTGTTACGTCTGGAAAATTCTAAAAAATACATAGATTCCTAGAATTTAATGTCACTTCCAAGAATAATAGAGATTCCAAGAATTGAGCATAATTACCGAGAACTAATGGAATTCCTGGAATAAGTTCTCGAGAGACCTCTTACTACATCATGTTCTCCTGATACAAACTCGAGTTTCTGGACACTTATTCCTTCCGTTTGTCCCGTCTGTAAAATT